ATTCCAGAAAGTCTGGCAATTCACTGAATGTTCTTTTTTTTTCATTCAGGATTATTCCTAACTTTGCTGGTATGATATTTTCAGCTGCAACTCCAGTTCTTTTGCTCTTTGATATATAGTGTTCCAAGCCCTGCAGTCTTTTAACGTCACTACTGCTAGGTCTTGCATGATTCTAATTGTGGCTCCACCATATTTGAATTATCTTTTTTCTTGTTGCTCTTCTGTGATGTCTTTGGCTAAGGGGATCATACTATTTACTGGCCAGCGGATTGTAAAGATAATGTTACTTTTAAGTTCCATTTGCATTAAATCAGACCAGCTTGATCTCAGATAGCTTTGTTAATGTGCATGGCCTTGTGGTTACTGTTAGAGAGCCAAGGACTGGCTAGAGTCTCAAGTATGTTTGACCTCTGAGTCTTGTCTCTATTTCATTGCTTTTTATATTATGTCAGTGCACCAGCTCCGTTATACCACTTGGCATATTGTTATATCATATTCTTGCTTTCTGTTTTGCTGCATTTGCTGTATTAAAGCCAAATATAGAGAACTGTATATTTTGGACCAACCAGAGTAAAATATCTTGCAACTTATAAGCAGGTACAAAATTGAGATCCTGGAGTATAGATTATGCTTCAAATAATTGTGCAAGAAGCACAAATTGGGGAGAGCTGAGGAAGTATATTAAAATCTTTTTGTTCAAATAAAAATATTAAGAAATGACATTTTCTCTAGCCTAAAATTTTTTCCAGACTTTTCCTTTTAGAAAAGTGGGTGAGACAAAAGCTAAGACTCTTATTAAGGATGATAACCAAATTGAACACTTGTCTAGATAAGATCATTGCCTCTTCACCCACCTGAAGTGATTGGCATTAAGACCTACCCATAGGCAGCGTCCTCTTTTGCATTCAAGATTAAGATATTAATTACAGGATGGGAGCCTTTCAGTATTTCAGTGGAGTCTTCAAAGGAGAAAAGAAATAGTGAATATTTTGGAATGTTAACCCCAAACTATATTTAAACATATTATGATCAACATTATTCTATCAACATTTTATCAACATTCCTATAAATGTTACCTCAAGTCATCTTATGGCAGAAAGTCGTAACTTGAGGGCATGGAGGGAGAAAAGGAGGAGGTGGTTATATCAGTTCTTCAGGGTTGAAATGATTTGAACAAAAAAAATGATAAAAATGATGAATAAATGAATGAATGAAGAAATAAATAAAAAAATGGTTTCTGGAAGAATTATGCCTAAAATATAGTGCAGTAATAACTTTTTACCCCCAATATTTAAAGGTGCTGATATAGGCTTGAATTCTGACACTAACTAGAAAGTAAGCATTGGGCCTTGGACCACTTCTTTTCAAAAGACTTCCATGGGTCACCTAAGCAGAGCCCAAGGACAGATTAAACTCTTCTAGGAGGATTTTGTTTTGGAGCTGACCTGCCCTATCCTTGATGACTCCTCATCAGGCTCACTAAATATGACTAAGTGAAAGGCCAAGTTTGTCAGAGGTATCCATGCTTATTTGTTTATATATGTTCATTTATATTGTTTACAGTAGGCCTTAGACCCTGCAGGTATAAATCCTTCCTTAACAGTTATAAGTGACCCAGTGTGAGACTGAATCAATTTTAGCCACACCAGACTACTTGTGATCCCTTAATAGGGATGATTTCTTTGCCCTCTTGTTAACGTTGGCTAGCAAATCTGGGAAGCAGACCACCTGAGACCACTGGCCCAGTCTGAAAGCAGGAGCTTAATTGTTCCCAGCTGCTCTGGGAATTCTACAGCCCCAAGATTCTCCATCCAGAGACTCTCAACTGGCCCAAAGTAATAGGTTTCTTATTTTGTTCATTGTTCATTGGCGGCTTGTTCAATATCTATTAATCTCTTCTGTGTTTAGAAATATAAAGTACTGAGGGGTGACTGATCTTAGATTCACAGATTCTCCATAATAAATTGGTGTACAACCACAAAATCACAAGCATACTCCCCACCTTACCCCAGAGGTACTTGGATCTCTCACTCAGGAGATGCTTCTGATCTTTTTGGAATGCTTGACTCAAATTTTTTAGCAGATTTTCACACATGAGTGGCTAACATCAAGATTACCATATCCTCAGGAATGGGAAATGAGGTTAGAGATCCTCAGGGCACAGAAAAAAAAATAAAAAAACCAGTTTCTCTATTATAGGACAGGAGCTAAAAGCAGGCAGTTGTTGGTCAATGAGCTTTGAGAATAGATTCTACATCATACAAGTGAGGTCAATGTTGAGTGTTCAGCTTTAGTAAAGTTGGGAGGCCTCAGAATGAGGAGCAGCATCTAAAAATGTCTCTGACACAGGAAAAGAGGGCATTTGTATTTCATTCACAAGAGAAATGAACATAAATTTTTGGATTAACGATTTGGCTGAATTTTTAAGGGATATTTTAATTTTTAACCATTAGTTCAAATTACAGGTGCACTTTGATGCATTTTTGGTTAATGCGAATGAATATTGCTAGTAATTACTAGTAATATTGTGTTGTCTGTGTTTTGATGTCCAGTCATATCTGGTGCTAAAGGACTACCTCAAGGCTTGTTTAAATTAAATTGGCAAAGAATTAGCCTCAGAAACAAGTAAGCAAAATACTTGAGGAAAAAAGGCAAAATTTCATTTGAAGAGTTTGGTTTACCTGAACATTGTATGAATTATTTGCCAGAACTCAATATAAATTAGAAGCAAAGTCACTTGAAAATAATTAGAAAAGATTCTGCGGCTACAAGTTCTTAAAAACCAAATTGGAAATATTTACTTGGCAAAATGAGAAACTATACATGAACCTGGAAGTATCAGCTCTGACCACCTAAAAGCAAAGTTTTGCAACAAGTTTGAGATGCATAAAAAAACCACAATATGCACTAATTCACAAAACTGGTTCACTGTTGCAGGGCTTGGTGGTGATGGTGGTGGGGCTAAAAGAAAAGCAAATTACACCCAGAAACAATTTGAAAAATGATTTGAAAGGAGAGAAGTTTAAGAAATGAGTTTCTGAATTCAGCCAGTATAGAATGCCAAATTTGGTACAGGATGTTTGTTGATGTTTTTTCTGAGTAGATGATGTGAAGATGCATTCAACTGGATTAATGTTATTTGACTGGCTACATGTTATGATCCTTTCTTTGTTCAAGATTCCTATAAATGTTACTTCAAATCATTTTGTGGTGCAGTCATGTCGAAGGATACATAGAAGATTATTCCAGTTTGAAAGCTCTTTCTCCAATGTAGAAAGGGTGTTGATATTGAATAATGGTAATTTAAATAAAATTGTTTCTTACAGACTTGTCAAAATTAAGCAATATTGCTGTTTTTTTTTTCCTCAGTAGGACCAGGCTGTAAAAGTCTCTATGGGCCAAACACAGGTACTTATATTTCATCCTACAGGCAGTAGGGATCCAGTGGAGTTTTGGAGTAGTGATACAGACAGACCTGTTTTAGGAACATCACTGGCAGCAGCCATGGGGAGGATAGATTGGAGAAGTAAGAGACCTGAAGTGTAGATATGAATTAGGAGGCTATTGCGTATCCAGGTGAGGAGGATATAAGAGACTGAATTAGGGTGGGGCTTGTAGCAATAAAGAGCAGGAAACAGATGTGAGAACTCTGTGAAGGTAGAAACATCAAGATCTGGCAACTGATTGTATATGTGACCTGAGGGAAAAACATAATAAGAATTCACTAACTCTGCATTCTCTCTGCTATAATCTTCCCATCCTTCTCAAGGGAAGCCCATAACCCTTGTTTGAGCTTATTTTCTTCCAGTATAGCCTAAACAAACACACAAACAAACAAACAACAAAAAAGCAACCTTGTTGCCCTTAGGTACAACACAAGGAAAAAAATTTCTGCCTTTCTAATTTTCTGGGTTCAAGTACTGCTTATATGGGGCAGCTAGGTGGTGCAGTGGATGGGGTGCCAGGCCTGGACTCATCTTCCTGAGTTCAAATGTGGTCTCAGACACTTACTAGCTGTGTGATCTCGGGCAAGTCACTTAATCCTGTTTGCCTTGGTTTCCTCATCTGTAAAATGAGCTGAAGAAGAAAATCTTTGTCAAGAATACCTTTGTCAAGAAAATCCCAAATGGGGTCAGAAGGGTCAGAAGCGACTGAACAATAAATGCTTTACACATGCAGGTTAGTTCATGTGCAGCTTGTATTATGTGAAACACTGAGGATACAAAGTTTCCTTCAAAGCTCAGCTCAGAGATGACCTCCTACCTAGTTCTAGAAATGTTAGTCATATTAATGGGGGAAGAGTACAAAATTGGAAGGATACCCATTAACACAGGGGAGACAGGGTGATCTGTATTTCAGGAAAGAACTGATTATTGGATCACAGATGAAGAGCTGAAAGGGCAGGGGAGGAAACAACCATTTATTAAGCACTTTTAAGTTCAATTCAATTAACTTTTATTGAGCCCCTACTTTTTGGTAGGCATTGTGCTGATGCTTTATAAACATTAGTTGTGAAAAGGCAGGCATCGCAGAGGGCATTTAGTCTAATTTCTGTTCTGCATTTTAGAGATGAGAAAACTGAAGCCTATGGAGGTTAGGTGACTTGCCTAAGGTGATATAGGCAATAACTGTCGGGTGGATTTCAATTCAGGACCTCTGATTCCAAGTCACTAGGTAGATGGAGGCTGGAAGCTCTGCTGGAAGAAGGAAAATGCACATATTGGGACTGGGATGGGGGCCCCTACTATAGGCTCCACTCCCCAGTCTCATCCTCAGGGCTCCTGGCTCCTATGACTAGGTACTGGAAGAATCCTGGTCCCCGAGCCCAGTCAGGCTCCTCCTCCCTCTTCTTTGGCCAGTGGTCTAGGGAAAAATCCAAAAGTCCTGGGGCGGCACCAAATCTTACTGCTCGGCTCTGAGCTCCAGGGGCGTGGTCTAGATCTACTGATGCTACTGGCCTCAGACCATTTCATTTTCACTTTCTCTTCCCTCTGGGCCGACTTAGTCTGAGGGAGGGCAGCAAAGGGGACTGCTATGGCAGAGAATGTCGGCTGCCGGCTGGTTCGGCACTTGGAGCACCTGACCTTGGAGGAGCTGAAGAAATTCAAATTTTACTTGGTGGACAATCTCCCTCGGGGCTCCCTGGAGGGGGCCGATCGCACAAAAGTGGCCGATCTCCTGGTCAGTTCTCTTGGGGAGCAAAAGGCCTGGGAGCTGACTTTGAACATCTGGAAGAAGATGGGTATGAGGGAGCTGTGGGAGCAAGCCTCGAAGGGTAAGGGTCCAACTGAGGGCTGGGGCTTCCTCTTACCACTTGCGCGCCTCTTAACGTTCCTTTCTTCCTCCTTCCCTCTGTCCTTCCTCTCTCCTCCCTTCTTTCTTTTCTTCCTCCCTCTTTCCTTCCTTGTAATCCTCTTCTAGGGCTTCTCCCAGACTGAAATTACCTCATATTCACTCTGTATAGATTGTGTTTACAAGTAGTTTCCCTCTAAAGAATGTAAGCTTCTTCAGGTCAGGCACTATTTCATTTTTATGTTTGTGTCCCCAGCACCTAACCCAGTGTTTGGCACGTCATAAGTACTTAATAAATATTTATGTAATAATTTCCGACTTTTCACTTTAGAATAATAGGATCCCACTGGGATACACGACATAGGACTGAGATAGGGAGGGAGGGTCACCTCTATGCTTCTTCCCAACAATCAAGATGGGAGGAGTGGAGTTCAGTCACTGTCCCCCCATACTGGAGAGGAAGAACATCTGGGCCATAAGGAGAGTTTGCTAGAGGCAAGAGAATGTTGTGGAGGTGCCAGTAGGTGGGGGAAGGAATTTAAGAGAAAGGGAGATGGTAATCTCAGAGAATGAAGCACATGGAAGAGATTTCAGCTGTGGTCTGAGCTGAAGAAAGGAGAAATGAGGGGGGGTGGAGAACAGTGGAAAAAGGAGATGAAATGAAATGGGTCAGGCTTTGATGAATTATTGTGTGTCTGCACAAGAAAAATGTAGAGGTAGAGCAGAATTAGAATGTTGAATGTAAGACAATTCCCTCCAGTGTGTCCTGAGTCAGGAGCAGGGGTAGAAGTTCTTTTCTTTTTGAAAATGAGTGCTGAACAACAAGAAGTCAATCAGATGGCATGCACAATAGCAAGTATGAGAAAGAATTTGGTTCTATTAAATAACCTTTTGCTGTTGAGTCATGACTCCTCCTGATCCCATATGGGGTTTTCTTGGCAAAGAGACTGGAGTGGTTTGTCATTTTGTTCTCCACTTCATTTTACTGATGAGGAACTGAGGCAGACAGCATTAAGTGACTGCCCAGGGTCACATAGCTACTAAGTGTCTGAGACTAGTTTTGAACTCAGATGATGAGCCTTCTTGACTCCAGTGCTGTATCATTGTGCCACCTAGCTGTCTCAAACCTAAATGAGTCATTATCAAAAGGTCACCCCATAGGCATACAGAGAGTTCAGGGCTGGCCCATACCCTCTCTATGCCTATGCCCACTCCTATCTAGGACTTCATATTCAGGTACCCTGAATCAGGGAGGAAAGAAGAAATAGGAACTAGCAATGACAATGAAGTAGGGTCTTTAAAAGAGTGGTGTGATATTTGTGACCCCATCTCTTGCTGGGTTTCTCAGACTAGTTCAGCCTTAGCAGGAAACACTGAGGGTCTAAACCACAAGCTCTCTGTGCACTTAAAACTTTTTGAGAGAGCCCTAGTGTGTGTTCAATGGTTTTGCCCACTTAATATCAGTCTCCAGTTTGAACATCCTAAGTCAATCACTGAAAAAGTTAAAACTCCCCATTTATTCACTTAAAATTCAGACAGGAACCAAGAAGATAACAACATTAAGCCAAACTTCTACTCAACTGGAGACAAGAGGGCCCCAGATCCTCTCCTTTCCTCCACCTAGGCAGAACAGAAGATCCTCCCACTCCTTTGAGACCCAGATAAAGTCTCACTTCCTTCAAGAAATCTTCTGTAACCCATTAATAGCCTGCAGAGATCTCTCTCTCTTGAACTCTTGGTCCTCTACATGTCTTTAGTATAGGAGTGCCTGGCACATAATCAGTGCTTAATAAATGCTTGTTGCTTTATTGATTCTCTATTTCATATAGTTAACCTATCAAAGCTACAAATCATATTATTGTGTTTGTGTCAGTCAACAAGCCTTTATTTGTGGAGTCTGTGGTGCTGAGACCCAGCACTTTTCATTCCAGTCCCTCAGGGCCCAAACTGAAATCTACTCCCTAATGATCTCCTCCAGCTCCATTCCTACTTTCATCCCCGAACTATCTACTTATGCACCAGATGGATCTCTCATTATCTTCTACTTTTCTTTCCTACAGAGGATCTTGGATTAGGTCCTGCTCCAGTTCTTCCAGTCTCCTCAGGTCAGTAACCACTGTCAATGTATAAATCTTGGAGCAGTTAGTTTTTTTCCATCTGTCACCCTAGACCTCAGATTGTCTATTAATGGGGTCCCATTGGTAAAATTTAAGGGGATGGGTTGTAGAACCTGGATGACTTCTCTGACCATTGAATGAATTAAAGTTCTTTGGACTCTAGCAGATAATATACCTCCTAGAAGGGCAAGATGGACAAATACTGGCAGTGTACTTGTTTAGTAACGGGGTAAAATGGTCAAATCTACACTGTATTGTTGCTAGAGGTAATGAAAAAGTGCTGGAGTTGATTGATGAAGGAAATAACACTATCAGACCTGTGCTTTAGTAATGTCGTTTTTGTAGTAGTATGGTAGATGGAGAGGGAGAAGATTTGAGATGAGATGCTGACTAATCAGGAGGCTAATGTAATAGTGCAGGAGAGAGGTAGTATACTCTTAGATCCAGTGATACTGACCTAGCTTTTTCCATGAATAAGGCACTCCATTTCTAGCCTCTAACTAAGCAGTGAAGGGTAGGAAGTTCATGGTGTATTTGGGGAGACCGAGAGGAAATAAGGATGCACACACAGGAAGGCTTTGAATTGTGGGATGAACTTAGACTTTATCCTATGGGTAAGACAGAGACATGGAAGGCTTCTGTTATTGTCAAGGTTGTGTTTCAGAAAGATCAGTTCAGTTGAGGTGAATGTAGGGTTTGGGGACTTACCTTGGACACCAGCAGATGTGAGGTGAGGGCAGAGCCGAAGGTAGCACTTCACCTCCATGTGGGCTGTGGGAACAGTAATGCCCAAGCCATTATCTTAGGGACTTTTCCCAAAGGTACTCCAGGAGATTTAATCCTGAACATCTCTGTACTGTGTTGGTTATGACTTTAGGTCAAAGAAATAAGTACCAAGAACAAATGAGAAAGAAATTCCAGCTCATGAGGGACAAGAACCATCGTCCTGGGGAGCATGAACTCTTTCATCACCGATTCACGCAGCTGCTGCTTGTTCAGGAGTATCGTTGCAAGGAGCAAAAAGAACATGAGCTGCTTGTCGATGGATGGGAACATGTTAAGGTTATGGAGGAGCGAGAACAGTTTACAGAGGTGTCAGTTTTATTTGATCCTGATCAGAAAACAGGCACCCAACCACACACTGTTGTGCTGCAGGGGGCTGCTGGTATTGGGAAGACCACCCTGGCCATCAAAGTGATGTTGGACTGGGCAGAGGGAAAACTCTACCAGGACAGATTCGACTATGTTTTCTATCTCACCTGCAGAGAACTGAACCCTTTAGGAGAAAGAGATATCAGTTTTGCAGATTTAATTGTGAATGACTGGCCTGGTCCACAGGCTCCCATGACAGAGATCATGTCCCAGCCAGAGAGACTTTTGTTCATCATTGATGGTTTAGATGAACTCAGATTCCCTTGTAATGAGCACAGATATGATCTGTGCAAAGACTGGAAACAGCAGAGGCCAGTGCCCATCCTGCTGAGCAGTTTACTGAGGAAAACCCTGCTCCCTGAAGCCTCCTTGCTGCTCACTGCAAGAGTCACTGCTCTGGGGAAATTTGGTCCTTTGTTAGAGAATCCACGTCATGTGGAGGTCCTGGGCTTCTCTGCAGAGCATAGGAAGGAGTATTTCTGCAAGTTTTTCAGAAATGAGAAATTAGGTACAAAAGCCTTTAGTTTAGTAAAAGGCAATGGCACACTGTTCACCATGTGCTCTGTTCCACTGATGAACTGGATTGTCTGCACTTGTCTGAAACAACAAAGGGAGAGAGGTCGAGATCCCATGCAGGCTTTGAAAACCACCACTGTTCTGTACATGTGTTATATCAATTTAATCACACCTGATGACAAGAATTTTGTATGTCAGCACTTGAAGGGCCTTTGTCGATTGGCTGCTGAGGGGATCTGGGAGAGGAAACTGCTGTTTGAGGAGGAGGACCTGAGGAGGCATAACATAAAGGCAGCTGATGTCTCTGCCTTCTTAGACATGAACATTTTTCAGAAAGACATTGCCTGTGAAAACTGCTACAGCTTCATTCACTTGAGTTTCCAAGAGTTTTTTGCTGCCATGTTCTATCTGATGAGCACAGACAAAGAAGGGATGGAGAGCCCTGACTCCTCCATTCCAGACGTCCAAAATCTTCTGGAGGAGTATAGCCAGCACAATGTCAGCTTTGTGGTCCTGGTGGTGCGCTTCCTGTTTGGTTTCTTAAATGCAGAGACTGCAAAGGATCTGGAGAGGAACTTCAGGTGCAGAATGTCACTGGAAATTAAGACACAATTACTGCAGTGGGTTGAGGGAGAAACTAAAAGAGATAATGAATATTCCGAGTTTTCTCATTCTAATTTACCAAAATGGTATTCTCTTTTATATGAGACTCAAGATGCTGAGTTTGCAACACAGGCACTAATTAACATCCAAGAAATCCAAGCAGATGTTTACTGCAACTATGAAGTCTTGAGTGCAGCTTTCTGCATCAAGCACTGCCTTGGGACACAGAGAATTTGCTTGTAAGTATCTTCTTTTTTATGTCTTGAGGCCTTTACTAGGCTTTTTGCAGACAGATGGAACTATGAATTTTTCTTTGGATTAATGCAGTGTTCACTTTTCAGCTTTTGAACACGTGTCTAGCCTAGATTCTCACCTAACTTTCCTTTGTGGACACAGAATTTTGAACCAAAGGATCCAACACAGGGCACTACTGGGTTTTACCTTTCCTTGTGCCTGTGTGGAAAACTAAGGAGATGTTCCTTTTCACCATTTATGTGTTAACCCCACTAAAGGCAAGCCAGATTGAACTTTAATAGCAATTAAAGTTGTATTTGGCAGCAAAGAGATCCCTGAATAGATGAGAGTATATCTTCGTCTATGTCAGGAAAAGAAAAGGACAAAACCTGTGTGCATATTTCTATATCCAGTTGAGATTAATTAAAGGATATTCTGTTTAGATAACTGGAGTGCTACAGAATGTGGAGAAGGACAAAGAGCTGGGAAGGAGGCAGTGGGGGTGGAGTCATGCACCAAGTTTGTGTCCAGCAACTTCCCATTTTTATATAGGAAAAATCCCATCTGTTGCATATGCTACAAATGCTCCTTTTTCTAGGAGCTCACAGGCAGGGATTGGAAGAGAAGTGAATGGTATTATGGCACCAGTTCTCTACTTTGAAATAGTTAAGAATGTCCCTGGTTGTGGGGGGAAAGCAGGAAGAAGGGAAATGAAGGAGAGTAGGCCTCATCCCATGGCATCTTTGGGCCTGTTACTGATAGGAGCCTGCTTTTTGTGTCCTTGGCTGGATGCTAAGATACTCTGCCTTGCACTGGTGACAATGGGCTCCTGAAGAACAAAAGTGCTCCTGCTTGTTCATGGCAGAATTTCAGATTCTCCTTCAACTTCCTCAGCCAGGCGCCAGACTCTGAAGCCAGCCCTGGAGGTGTAGGGAACACGCTAATATTCAGAGGGGTCTTTTGTTCAGGACTTCACGCATGGGAGTCTCTTGCACATCTGAGATGGCTCAGCAAGAAGTCATTTTCATACTAGAATAATCCTTTATAGTGTGTCATCTTGCAGATGCATTTGAAGCTATCATTTTGGGGAGAAAATTTATCATTGGTAGCCCTTGCCTGGCAGCTTCATTAGAGGCAGTTAGGTAGCACAGTGGATGTTGTTGTTGGTCCTTTGTTCTTGAAGACAACTGTGGCATCAGGAAGGTGATGCCATGACTTGCAAGTGAATTGGATTTGAGTGAATGAGGACTGTGCAAGATCACCAGCCTCACTTTCTCCCCCAGAGCCATCTGGGTCTAGTGGCCAGATATTGATCAGGATGGCTGGAGATGACTCCCTGGGGAAAGAAAAGAATCCTACAAAAACAGAACAACTAGGTACCTGGACAAGGAGCTACTGAGGAAAGGAAAGATTCCAAAAACCGCAGCAGAACAAGTGGCCACCCTGAGGAGGAGCTACCAGTGTTCACTGAGGAAAGGAAGAAGTCCTACAGAAGCAGCAGAAAAACTGACCAATTCAAGGAGGAGCTACCAAGGTTTACTGAGGCGGGAAATAAGGCCCACAAAAGCAGCAGAACAAGTGGCCGGCCACCTGGGAAAAAAGCTACCAAGGCTCATTTTTGGGGAGACAGTTTCTGGGCAATCAATAATTAATTTTATTAATTATGGCTAGCAAATGATTAATAGATTGAGGTCAGTGACCCTCCTGGAAACCAAAAGCCACCCCCCCCCCCCACCATCCAATGTTTAAATAAGCTTAGGAGACTGGGTGTTCCTGAAAGGTGGTAATTAATTCTGATTGGTTAACAATTAATGAAAAATGAATATTATAATGAGCATAAGTGGGTTTATTCTAATGAGGGGCTAGGGGGATATGACTCTGATCATTTCACTCTTGGACAAGAGACTCATGTATACCCAGACCACACCTGCCTCAGGAATCTAGACAAATGGATCTACCTCCACGTAGAATACTTATGGTGTTGAATATTGGCCCCCCAGAATTTACTTCTATGAAGTAAAAAGTCTCTTTCCCTTTAATCAAAACAAAGCTTTCCTATTTGGGAGGTGTCCTGCTTAAGACTGAGGAGAATGTTGACCCAATCTCATTACCTTTCACAAGGACTGGACTTTGAATAAGGAAATAGAAAGGGAAAAAAAAAATTCTGTTACCCCCTCCTCCTACCCACATTAATTGCTTCTTAATAATAATTTCTCTCAGACTGCTGAACAGGGAGTCAGGAAGACATGAGTTGAAATGTGTCCTCAGACATTCAACAGCCTTGTGACCCTGTGGACAAGTCACTTAATGCCTATCTCAGTTTCCTCATTTGTAAAATGAGAATGATAGCACCTACCAGGGTTGTGAGGATAAAGGAGATAATATTTTAAAGTACTTTGTGAAGCTTAATGCTATTTATCTATCTATTTGTATTATGAGCAAATGGAAACAAATAGCTCCCATTGTTTGAAAGGCATATGGTTCAGTGAAGCAAGTGTTAGGATTTTGGGGGGCAGCTTTGTAGGAGCTTCAGAGCTTTAAACAGGAGAGGAGCTTTTGTGTAAAAGCAGACAGAACTCCATGTTTTTCCTGAGCTTTGGATTGGATAGAAAAGTTAGGGGTTCTGAGTGAGTTAGAGCTGAATGGCCTCCCTATTCCTGTCTTTGAGTTTAAATTACTTAATGCCAGATACAATACATTTTCCTACAAGTTCTGGAGGTATGAGAAGCCTGGAAAGGTACTGAGGTTAAAATCTTAGTCATTTACAGTTCTCTCAGAGATGAATGAAGTAGGTTTCCTCGGACCAAAGACCAAATTATTGAAAGTATTCTATGCAGGGCTGGAGCAAGAATACCTCTGGATGTATTGGTATCTGAGGAAGAGGAATATATCTGTAGGTAAGAAGAGTACAATAAGGACCAGACTAAATAACATAGAAACCAAATAGGATTGGATCCTAGGATAGAGTCTCTGTTTTGCCTGTCACTAACTGTGTAACCTTGAGTGAGTTAATCTGTTCTCATCTCATTTTTCTTTTTGGAGGAATGCTTCCAATGCTTCTCTTATTGAAAAGTTGGTGTTTTTTTCATTAGTAATTAGGCTTTGATTTGTAGGATATGTCACCTTCAGTTGAATCTTGAAGTTTTTGCCCTTTAGATCATGATTCCTTTCCTGTCTGCATTTTTTGTGAGCCCTGAATAATCTTGTGTTATTCAGATTTCATTTCCTTTGTATTACAAGGTACTTGTCTTGATCATTTGCAGATTTTTTTTTTTTATTTTTTGGCATTGCACTTGCTAGATTTAGCCAGTTTACATCTTGGAGTTTTCATCATAGGAATTTTTTTCTGGAAGTTATGTGTAGAGTTTTTGATTGGCATTTTGTTTTCTCTATTCTCAACTGAGTAGTTTTCTTGTGTTTTTCTTTGCATTTTGGTAATCAGCTATTTTGACTTCTGTTCTTTTAGGAGCCCTGTAAACCTTAAGTTGTCTCTACTCATACTGCCTTTGAGATCAACATGTTTTGCTTCTACATAAATCATAGTTTCTTGTAATGTTATGACTTTTTTATGCTCTTCTTCCAGATTGTCCTTCATTGCTTTATATTTGCATTACCAATCAGTTGTTCTTTCTTTTACTTCTTTGAAGAGTCTCATGACTAGATTCAGCTTTTCCCTTTCTGCCAATTATATCTGCTGTGTAAATCATAAGTTCTTTCTTCATAATTCTTATGTCTCTCTTGAATCATTAACATCCTGCTATGTTTCCATTCTGTCTTAGGAATCCACAGGATCCTCTGCCGCATTAGGTGTTGGTTCAGTTTCCTTTATTGCAATATAAATTCAGGCATGTGTAGACTCATTTGGGTGTTTTGGTGCTCATCTTTATTTCTGTCTTAGTATCTTCTGTGTATTTTAACTGCTCATGCTTAAGACTTCTGAGTTTTATTCCTTTTAAGGTCTTTGGTTTCAGTCTTCTCCTCTTACAGTCACCTATCACTTTCTGACTCCTTTATCATTGATTGTGGATTTCATTTATTACCCATCTATTATGTGCACAGCATTAGGTTAGAGTCTGGAGATACAAAGGAAAAGGCTCACAAGGAGATTGAATTCTATCCTTTTGATGTCCTAGGGCTCCTTATACATTACTTTCCTCCAAAATGTTTTTAAAATCTGGAGAACCTTCTTCAAGAGGCATATCTAGGAAATCTCCCAATGGAATCAGAATAAAATAAAAACTAAGGTCTTCTTAGAAGGGGAAAATAACAAAAAATGAAACCTGAGCAGTGGTTGGCAAATTTAGAAAAATAGTCTTACCCATTTATCTTGGTGGAGGTGGGAAAGTTATGGGCTGAATATATTAATAGAAGTCTTAGGAATTTAATTAATCTCTTCTAGCACCAGTTGGGGGTGCCATTTCCTCCTGGGATTCTCTGGGAGTTGCTGTCCATCCTCTTATGCCAATAGCATGTTCCCTATTACAAATTCCCCAATTACTGTGCCTTAGAGAGGGCTCTTGGTACAATTGGGTCTCCTCTTATCCTGAAAGATTGAGTCTATCATTATTAATTTCGGGTTTCTGTACACGTTAGATATTTAGAACTCTTCTTCTCCTTCCTTAGGTTAGGTTTTTTCCTCCTCCACTCAACCTAACTGATCTAGACATTGATTTCAGCATTGCCACTGAAGATGTGGAGGCTGAAGGAAGCAGGACAAGGGAAAAAGGAGGTAAGTGGGGGGTGGGGAGCGGTCAGATGAAGGCTGATGGAAGTGGCAATAGCTAGTGCTTGGATTTGTCTCAGATGCACTGGCCTCCAGAGTCCCAAGCATCTAATCCCACCTGTTCTTTTCCTGAGAATTGATGGAATTTGATATATGACCTTTTCCTTTTTCCATACAGACAAATAGGCACACACATTTATACCAGGAGGCAACTTGAGTGCCACTGATATTCACAGTAAAGTTCTCCTCTCATTTCTCTCTCTAGTTATTGTTTTTGTGATATACCTGATGGTGTTTGGCAAGATCTTTTCTCTGTGATCAACAAGAATCAGAACCTGAAAGAGCTCAAGCTGTACGGCCCTCGATTTGTTGACGCATGCTTGGACAACCTTTGTGTGGCACTAAGAAATTCAAACTGCAAACTGGAAAAACTGATGTAAGTCTAAGCTTGTCCCATAGCTGGGGTGGCTGCCTATGTGGGAGTAGGGAGTAGAGAAAGTGAGGTAAAGAGCTGAGGAAGATGTGAAAAATAGGTCTTGGGGTTAAAGAAAGTATAGACCTGAATCCAAATGAGTGAAAAGTAAGACAATGATAAGAAGAGTAGAGAAGAAGAGAGAAGGAAAAAGGACATATTGCCCTTCTCACCACTGTGTTTTGATATGGTTCTAGAAATACTAATTATAACAATAAAGAGAACAAAATCAAAGGTACACATATTAGCAAAGAGAAGACAAAATTATCTTTATTGACAGATGACATGATGGTATACTAAGAACACCCAAGAGAATCAGTGAAGAAACTAATTGATAATAGGGTCATAGTTTCATAGCTGGAAAGTACTTTGGAGACCATCCAGTCCAACTCTCTGATTTTACAGATGAAAAAGTCAGGCTCACTGACATTAAGTGACTTGCCTAAGGTCATACAGGTAGAACTTAAACCAAGGTCATCTGACGCCAAATCCAATGCACTTTCTACTGCAGCATCAATAAGGTAGCAGGACTCAAAATTTATATCCCTGCACATAATGAACAAATCATGTATTTCTGTAAAGTGCAAAGAAAGGAATGATGATAAAAGATCTGTGAATCTGACTTTGTTCTTTTGAGTTCTTGCCCTATATCACCAATTAATTGTTGGACATTTCAGACTGGATATTCCTTAGACATCTCATATTCAATTTGTATAGACAGGCCACTGGACTTGGAATCAGGAAGATCTGGGTTCAATTTTTGCCTCAGACAGAACCCTGGACAAGTCATTTAACCTCCCTTCCCTCAGTTTCCTCATCTGTAGAAGGAAGGAGAGAGACTTCAAGGTCTCTTCGTGCTCTGAATTTACAGATTTCATTAATCCGCTCCTCCAGTACTCCCCCATCTTCCCACAGTCCCTTTTTCTGTTAAGGAAACCACCATTCTTCCAGGTCAGCAGGTTTGCAACCTTGGGGCTATCCTTAGTTCTTCGTTCTTCCTCATCCCCTTTATTCAATCAATTACTAGATCTTATTGATTCTACTTCCACAATATCTCTCACATCCCTCCACTCTTCTCCACCCCCATGTCTGCTATCCTAATTGAAGCCCTTATTGCCTCTCACTTCAGTTACTGAAGTTGCCTTCAAGCTGGACTTGTATATGTATGTGTATTCATATGTGTGTATGCATATGTCTATGTGTGTGTATATATTTGTGTATCTGTACGTGATGGGATCGTGGAATATTATATCTAAAATGTGTATACATAAGTGAGTATATATTTGTGTTCATATATATCTATGTCAATATATGTATATATATGTGTCTGTCTATCTATATCTACATAATGTTCCTATATATAAGCATACACACACACTTCAGATGTTTTCTGCTTTTCATTATTTGAATGAAATTTTGATCAATCCATAAGCATTTATTAAACACCTGCTTTGTACTATTCACTGTGCAAGGTACTGGAGATAAAATGACAAGAATGAAAGAGTCCATGCCCTTAAAACCTTATTTTCTTTCTATCTAATATTTATATGAGTATAGATAGAATATCTATATAGACTGCTTCATTTTTGTTTTTGTATCCCTTGTATTTATTTAGCATAGTGCCTGGTACTTAATGAATGCTTGTTGAGTGATCAGATTCCATTCAAAATGACAAAAAGCAGAAAACATCTGGGAGTTAACCAACAAGAAACAGAAGATTTATATAAATACAATTTTATTTTGTAGAAGTAAAGGGAGACATAAAGAATTGGAGAGAGAATCAAATGATAATGCTCTTTTAATTTATGGCTTTAGTGACATGTTAATCAAGCTACCAAGGAAGTATTTTATAGAACAAGATAAAATAATGATAGAATTCATTGGGATAACCAAAAGATCCAGCTTCAAGGGAAATAATCAGAAAATGTATAAATAAAGGTCATTATCAGATCTCAAACTCTGTCATATAGCAGTAGACATCAAATGTATTTGGTAGTCGTTAAAATAGAAGAGTAGATAAGGAAAAAGTCCAAGATAAAGAATAAACCTTTGAAAACAGTATCCCATTGTTGGATAAACCCAAGAATATAATTTACAGTGGGAGGGATTCTCTTTTTGACAAGTCCATCCATGAAAACTAGACAGCAGTTTGGTAGAAATTCTGTTTTGATTCTCATACCAGGTACCATAGTAAGCTCAAAATGGATTTGGTGAACCAAATATAACAATTTACACCATAAAAATCATTAGATGAGGACAAGATTAGGTACCTTTCATAACTGTGAATGGGGGAATTTTTTAAATAAGAGAGAGAAAAGATCATAAGATATAAAACAGATCATTTTGACCATTATAGTTCACTTCTACTCCCTCTCCAACTGTATGGAAAATTGAATTTTACTTCTGAAACTCTCCTTGACATTGATAGACCAGCTGTGGCCTTATTTTGTTTAGTCCTAGGCCTACACAACACTTCTCACACGTCTCCACCCATGCCACCCCCTCAATTATATTCCAGCAGCAAGAGACAGAAAGAGAAGACAATTATATTCCAACCCTTAGTCCCTTTCCATTTCTCTTTCATGTGTTGTTTTCCCTTGTTAAAATGTAAGATCCTTGAAGGAAGTGATTAATTTGTTTTTATTTGTATCCTAGCACTTAGCACAATTCTGGCCCTCTAGTAAGCCCCTAAATATTTTATCTATCGGTCTGCCTGCCTATCAAAACAAACAGAAGAAAAAAGATATAGAAAATATTCCATCAAATATCAATGATAAATATCAGATACCCTAAATTTATATGTAATTGAGACGAGATAAATGGGTCAATGGATAGGAACAAAAGAATGGCAAAAACTAAATGGCCCCATGACAATTTGATCCAACTTAATAGTAAGAGAAATATAAATTAAAACTACTCAGTTTTTATTTTTTCAATGAAAATTGGTAAAAATGACAAAAAACGACAACAGTCAATCTTGGAGATACTTTGTGAATATAGGAAGACTAGTGCTTTGTTGGCAGGATGGCAAATTGGTCCAACTGGCCTTGGTATCCATTTAGAACTATGCCAAAAAAATTAGAAATTGTCAATATCTGATAGAAACTATTTTGACCAATTACATATTAATGAAGTGATAATTTAGAGGTTAACACAGAATATTTGCAAAAGTACAAATTGCCCAGATTAACAAAAAAGTAAACTATTTTTTTGAAACTCATGATTTGTTTTTTTGAAGTTTTATTTATTTGTTTGTTTTTAGTTTTCAACATTTACTTCTGTAAGATTTTGATTTCTAAATTTTCTCCCCCTCCCTCAGCTTCCCCTTCCCAAAGATATCATGCAATCTAATATAGGCTTTACATGTACAATCATATTAAACATATTTCTACATTAGTCAAGAATTAGAACCAAAGGAAAAACCATGAAAAAGAAGAAACTACAAAGGGGAGAAAATAGTATGCTTTGATCTGCATTCAAACTCCATAGTTCTTTCTCTGGAATTGTATAGCATTTTCCATTATGAGTCTTTTTAGAATTGTCTTAGATCCTTGTGTTGCTGAGAAGAGTTAAGTCCATCAAGTTTGGTTATTGCACAGTGTTGCTGTTACTATGTGTAATGTTCCCTGAATTCTTCTCGCTTCATTCAGCAGCAGTTCATGTAAGTCTTTCCAGGTTTTTCTGAGGTCTGCCTGCTCATCATTTCTTATGGGGCAATAGTATTCCATTACTTTCATATACCACAACTTGTTCAGCAATTCCCCAATTAATGAACATCCACTCAATTTCTAATTCTTGTCCACCACAAAAAAGCTGCTGTAAATATTTTTGTAGACGTGTGTCTTTTTCCCATTGTTACGATCTCTTTGGGAAACAGACCTGGAAGTGGTATTGCTGGGTCAAAGGGTATGCACAGTTTTTTTTTTTTTGTATGCACAGTTTTATAGCACTTTGAGCATAATTCCAAATTACTCTCCAGACAGGTTGAATCAATTCACAACTCCACCAACAATAAATTAGTGTTCCATTTTTCTGCATCTTCTCCAACATTTTTCATTTTCCTGTTTTGTCATGTTAGCCAATCTATTAGGTATGATGTGTTACCTCAGGGTTGTTTTAATTTGAATTTTTTAATCAATAGTGATTTAGAGCATTTTTTATATGACTATAGATAGCTCTAATTTCTTCCTCTGGAAACTGCCTGTTCATATTCTTTGAGCATTTGTTAATTGGGAAATGACTTGTATTCTTCTAAAATTGACTCAGTTCTGTATATATTTTAGAAATGAGGGATTTTATGAGAGACATTGGCTGTAAAAATTGTTTCCCAGCTTTCTGCTTCTCTTCTAATCTTGGTTGTGTTGGCTTTGTTTGTGCAAAACCTTTTTAATTTAATGTAATCAAAGTTATTTATATTGCATTTCATAATGTTCTCTATCTCTTGCTTGGTCCTAAATTCTTCCATTCTCCATATATCTGACAGGTAAACTATTCCTTGCTCTCCTAATTTGCTTATAGTCTCTCTCTTTATATCTAAATCATGTACCCATTTTGACCTTATATTGGTATATGGTGTAAGATGTTGGTCTATATCTAGTTTCTGCCATACTATTTTCCAGTTTTCCCAAAAGTTTTTGTTAAATAGTGAGTTCCTACCTAAGGAGCTGGAGTCTTTGGTTTATCAAACAGTAATTACTATATTCTTTGCCTTCTGTGTGTTGTGTACCTAACCTATTCCACTGATCCACCACTCTATTTCTTAGCCAATACCAAGCAGTTTTGATGATGGCTGCTTTATAATACAGTTTTAGATTTGGTATGGCTAGGCCACCTTCCGTTGCATTTCTTTTCATTATTTCCCTTGATATTCTAGACCTTTTCTTCTTCCAGATAAATTTTGTTATTATTTTTTTCTAATTCTATAAAATAATTTTTCAGTAGTTTGATGATTATGGTACTAAATA